TATATATATATATATATATATATATATATATATATATATATATATATATATATATATATATGAGTAGTAACGATATTACTGAGGATAAATATAAAATAGGTTTTATAAAGGTTTCCAATAAAACACAAGAAAATAAGTATTGTTTTGATATTTTTTTAAACTATAGTTTGAAATCTGCAAACTAGGAATACCGTAATCTCAGAACTACTTATCAAATTTCTTCTCGCAAGTAGGGAAAATAATTAATGATACAAGAAAGAAATATGCATGAACGTAGAATGAAGATAGGGAAAGTAAATAATGACACAAGAAAGTTTTCTAATCAAGTCGTCAACATCCATTGAATAGATAAAACAAAAATCAATAAGTTAGATATAGCATGTGAAAAATGTTTAGCCGAGAGAAGAAATTAAAAATTACTACTATTTATCATCATTTATGCATAATAACAAACACATTATGCATTCCAATTCAAAAGTTCATTTAATGCATTTCATCTTTCACCTATATACTGCACACATACAGAAGACAAGTTGAAGTTTTCTGATGGCTGTTTGTTACTCTGTATCTGCCATTGCCATTGTATCAACTTTTGTAACCATATTTTCTCTTTGCCTTTTCTTGAATTCAAAAACCAAACTCTTCAATAAAGATGTGAGCTTATTAGGAACAAACGAATGCGATATTTACCAAGGAAGTTGGGTTTTTGATGATTCATATCCACTATATAATTCATCAACTTGTCCCTTTATTGAGGAATCATGGGATTGCCAAAAGAATGGACGCCCTGATAAAGATTATTTAAAATATAGATGGCAGCCCTATGGATGTAATTTGTCAAGGTATAAGTTTGTTTATCATATGATTGGTCACTAAAAGAGTTCGATATATATTCTTTAATTAATATTTGATCTTATCTCTTTTCCGTTGTAGATTTAATGGAACCAAATTATTGTTAAAATACAAAGGAGTTCGATCGATATTCTTGAATTAATACAATAACAACCTTAGTCTCAGTAAGTTGGGGTCGGCTATATGAATCCTTACTTCTTCATTTAAGCTCAACTCATATAACCATCATACAAGATAAATTAAGAGTAAAACATAAGTCAAATATATACATAAATAATAGTAGTGATATTGGAAGTTCTCTAACATATCTAAACATATTCCCATCTAGTAAATATCAAGTTATTATAGCTTTTTCGAGACAACTTCCTTTCATACAATTTTAAGTCTACCCCATCTTATTCTTGAATTAATATTTGATCCTTTTTTTTTCCTTGTAGATTTAATGGAACCGAATTCTTATTAAAATACAGAGGAAAGCGCATCATGTTTGTTGGAGATTCACTGGGTCAAAATCAATGGCATTCCCTTGCGTGTATGATTCATGCATCACAACCACAAGTCAAGTATATCATGGATAAAATTGGAAGGCAATATACATTCAGCCTCCCCGTAAGTCATTTTTTTGTTTAGTTTTTATAAACTAACATTATAAAATCATTGTTACTTTATTAGATTATTTAAAAGATAATTGCAGGTAAGTTCATAACAAGTAATATTAGTAACCTGAAAAATAATACAGGTTGAATGTTAGTTTTATATAAGTTAAATTCATTATTTACATATGTTTCGTTCACTTTTTACACAACATCTCTATCAAATATCTTTATTTTTTATTTTTTATTTTGTGTGGTCAAAGTTGAGAAAATGAGAAAAAGAAAGGTTTTATCAGATGTCTTTCTTTTGTTTTTTTCTTTCTTATTTTTCTCCACTAAGACATGATTATAAAGATATGAGTTGATGGGATATTGGTGAAACTGTAGGATTACAATATTTGGTTATTGTTTCTTGGGAATCCTCTCATTGTTGACATTATCACGGAAAAAGGCTCAAGAGTACTGAAGATTGATTCAATCCGTTCGGAAAATGTCTGGAAAGAAATGGATGTTTTGGTGTTTAATACATGGCATTGGTGGAATCGCACAGGGATTAATAAACAAACGTGAGATACATTGGATACAACATTTTTCAACATTCTTTTATATATAGTATATAATTCTTCCCTACTAATTATTAATAATTAATGCAAGATCTGTTGCAGTTGGAATAGCGTTCAAGATGGGAATACTACATACAAAGATATGAACAGATTAGAACTTTACAAAAAAGCACTAAATACATGGGCAAAATGGGCTGACTCTAATCTCAACTCCACAAAAACAAGAGTCTTTTTTCAAGGAGTTTCTCCTGACCATGAGAAGTAAATTTCATTCTTCCTTTTAACTAGTTTATTCTTTTCTTTAAGGTGTATATGGTAATTAATATCTTGAAATTAAAATATTTTATTGATTATACTCAGATGTGAAGGAAAAACAAGACCATTGCAAAGTCCAGGAAGTTTGTTTCCAGGAGAAATGGAACTAGAGAACGTTGTGAAAACAATGTCAAAGTTAAATGTTCGTTTGATCAATATAACGAGCTTGTCACAATATAGAGCAGACGGTCACCAATCCATCTATAGCTATAAAATGGATTGCTTGCACTGGTGTCTACCTGGGGTCCCTGATGCTTGGAATCAACTCCTTTACCACCATCTTATTTCATAGTTTTAGCACATTTTGCCCCTTTTTTTCTTCTTAATATACTTTTCTTTTAAATTTTGCATGGAAATCTACACGAATTTATAACTCCTTTAAACCTGGGGAATGAATTTTGGCGATTCTGAGTACCTTTCCATCTAACTTATCAACTACCTCTAATTAAGAGGAAGAATTCTGATCTTGTTATACATTGAGCTATATCTCTGTCTTATGAGGAAATGAGCAGCCAGTTATAGCAAGGACCATAGGCTATTAATTTGGTTGTTATTAGATGAAAGACAGGGCCAGCTTCCTAACTATCCAGATGTAAGTTAATGTTCTTAACGTCGACCAGGTAATGTTTAAATCGATAATTGATATTTTATACTTCAATACCACACAAGATGGGAGTGATTTGTATAGTGTCCACTTTTTAGCGTGCACAGATTATAGAAGGACCTAGTTCTTCTATGTGTTTCTTATACTACCGTTGCGGAATTATAAATAAAAAAAAGTAAAGAACACAAGTATTTTTACGTGGAAAATACCTAGCTTAAAAGGTGAAAAAACCACGACCTAGTGCCCAGTAGGATTTTTTCCAACACTTCACTATATCTTTGAGCCAAAAGAGCATTTACAAAACTCTTGTAAACCTAAATATTACCTCTAACCCTTTGTGGCAACCAGCCTCAGACTGCTGCAACAATTTCAAGTTAACTCTAACTTGAATAATACACTCAGAGTACCTAGTACAAATGCTTCTACATAAAGTTTAAAGGTACAACTCAAAAGCCATACTACAATTGACCTAGAATAAAAGACAGACACTTGAAACTGGTTCTTTTATCTGGTTCATGTATCTACACGTTCGCACACTCGAATCACACAGGAATTACTTGCAAAATGCCTTGCTATTTTGCTCTCAACTCTCGTTTAACTTCAGCATTTGTGTGTCGCCGGTAAAATAAGAACATCCTGAAATATATAGAGTTAGTAGAATAGGAAATAACTAGAGTTCTAATACTATATATACTCTTCCTTGGTGGAAGAGCTCAAGTTATCATCAACTTCTAACTCTTTCCCATATCTTGGATAGAGTTCTCTTCACGTAAGGAGTCCTGCTCCTTATCATATGAAACCTTTTCGTTCAAAAGATATCCAATATAGCCATTTATGCTTATCTCCTTTACGTGCATGCCTTGTGCTCGAATTTGCCCCTGTCTGTATGCACTGTGTATGGACCTGGTTCATGTGTGTGTTTCTTTGTCAATCGTCAAAGCAAACTTATTCAGGCAAGAGTGTCAATTTCTTTGGAGGCTTCCATTTTACACCTTTTAAGCAGCTCTTTCACATAATTTTGGTGATGGATCATACTTCCATTTGGATTTTGTTTTATTTGATAGCCTAAAAAGAAATTAAGCTCACCCATCATACTCATTTCAAATTCACTCCTCATTAGCTTAGCAAATTCCTTACTTAACCTATCTATAATTGCTCCAAAGATTATATAATCAACATATATCTGAACTACCAAGAGATCTTTACCTTTTTCTTTCAAGAATAAAGTATTATCAATATTACCTCTCTTGTAGCCATGCTCTAGCAAGAATTTAGATAATCTTTCATACCATGCTATTGGAGCCTGTTTGAGCCCATAAAGTGCCTTGTCAAGCTTCTATACATGATCAGGACATTCCTTGCTCTCAAAGCCAGGAGGTTGCTTGACGAACACTTCTTCTTTTAGATAGCCATTGAGGAAAACACACTTGACATCCATATGATGGAGAGTGAATTTCATGTAAGCAACAAAGGCTACAAGAAGTCTCGTTGCTTCCAATCTTACAACTGGAGCAAAATTCTCATCATAGTCTATGCCCTCCTCTTGACTATATCCTTGAACTACCAACCTTGCCTTGTTCTTTGTAACTATTCCATCTTCATCAAGTTTGTTTCTGAAGATCCATTTTGTGCCAATTACTGATTTGTGATTAGGTCTTGGTACCAGATGCCAAACTTGACTTCTCCCAAATTGGTTGAGTTCATCTTGCATTGCATTCACCCAGTTTGCATCCTGCAAAGCCTCAGTAAGAGATAAAAAAAGGCATAAAAACACATAGGTTATTTAAAGAGGATCAGGTTTTGATTCGGAGGCTAGATAAGTGATTATGTTCCCAATAGAATGAGAACTTTGATACTTGTAAGGTTTTACAACCAGATAGTTTCCCTCAGATGTTCCTTCAATGTTCTGTTGTTGAGGAACAGGTTCATGGACAGGTTCCCTCGAGGTTTGAGGATCAGTTCCCCCTGTCAGGTTGCCCAGGGTGGAAGGAAATGTTCCTTCTTCTAGTGCAGCTTTAGTTTTCATCTGAGTTTCTTACCAGCCCATTTGCTTCATCATCTTGTTCCTGCCTCTTAGAAAGAGTATTAGTTTCATCAAAAACCACATGTACACTTTCTTTTACACACATAGTTATTGTTATAAATCATATAGGCTTTACTATGTGAAGAATACTCCCCCATCACTTATGGGATCAAACATACCTACGGAGTCTTTTCTATTATTGTGCACAAAGCACTTGCATCCAAATTCCCTAGGATGGAATATATTTGATATTCTCTTTAAGTAACTCATAGGTAGTCGTCTCAACAAGAGGTTTATTCATGTACCTATTTATAATGTAGCATGTAGTGTTCACAACATCTGCCTAGAAACTATGGGGCAATTTACTAGCAAGTAGCTTAGTCCTAGCCATTTTTTCAAAGTCCTATTCTTTCTTTCAACTACTCAATTTTTTTGTTGGAGTCCTAGGAGAAGAAAAATTTTGATTTCTGCCATGCTCATCACAAAATTTAGCAAATTTAGCATTTTCAAATTCAGTACCATGATCAGACCTAATTGATGCAAGTTTATTACCTAGTTATTTTTGAGTTTTTCTAACAAATGAAGTGAACATATCAAATGCTTCAGCTTTAGAAGTTAAATACAGTGTCCAAGTAAATCTAGAGTAATCATCAACAAGCACTATAACACATATCTCTTACCATATCTGCTTAATATTCTTATTGCTCCACAAAGATCCATATGGAGCAATTCCATCGTTCTGGTAGTGCTTACCATTTTCTTGCTTTTAAAAGAGGATATTACCCGCTTCCCCCTTGCAAGAGCTCACATACTTTATCTTCCTTAAACTTAATGTTAGGAAACCCTACCACCAAGTCCTTGGAGACTAGTTTGTTGAGTTGGTATAGACTTAGCATATCCAAGTCTCTTGTGCCAAAGGAGGGGATCATTGTCCATCACACTTAAGCAAGTGAGTTAATTATCTAAAAGTGTGGACAGATCCACCACGTATATGTTATTCACTCTCTTTCCCTGCAAAGCTATCTTGTCAGTGGTAAGATTAATCACAAAGCATTTTGTAGAGGTGAAGGCTACCATGTTACCTCTATCACACAATTGTGATGCACTTATTAGACTGTACTTCAGTCCATATATCAAGTAGACATTCTCAATAGAGTGAGAATCAGTCTTACCTACCTTTCCAAACCCAACAATCTCACCTTTCTTTACATTCCCAAATGAGACATTACCTTCTTTAAGGTCCTCAAGTGAAAGGAACTAGTTCTTGCTTCCTGTCATATATTTTGAGCAGCCACTATCCATGTACCATATTTGGTTGCTCCCCTTCACTTGGACCTGCAAAAAGAAATCAGGGTTTAGTCTTATAAACTCAAACTAGTTTGGTTCCCTTTCTATAGGCAAAAGAATGAATCAAATTCTTTTTAGCCCAACTTGGCAGCCTATTTTTCCTAGAACAAATTTTTTGTTCTTTTGACTTGCCTTCTCTTTTGAAGTTCATTCACTCTTATAGTGACCAGTGTTACCACGGTATGTGCAAATCTTGTTCTCAGGTGTGTGAAATATTTGCTTCTGTGATCCCACTTAAGTGCAGAGTTCCCAAAGCCAAGTCCTCTTCTGTTGCTGCTATGATGTTTTTGTAGGCATGAAAGTGCATCAGAGGATCTGTTCAATTTACAACTTCTGACTATCTCATGCTTGACCTTGTTCAAATCCTCCTTTAAGACTCTTACCAGTTTATCCCTCTTATACAACTCATCTTTCATGTTTCCTACATTTTCTTATAAGGTGAGGTTTGTGTGATGTGCTGTCTTTTTACATGTTCCTTATTTCAATTTCAGATTTTCAGATATAAGTTCTAGGACAGTAGCATCAAGTGTATGAACCTGGTTCTTCAACACGGTATTTTTACTTTTTGTTTCACAAGCCCTAAGTTCCAGGTTTTTGCACTTGGCTTTCAAAGTTACACATTCTTTTGACAATTGTTCCTTTTCATTTAATCTCCCACAAAGGACGGTTTTTTGATCATGTGATCAGTCTTTCCACACTTGTAGCAGCCATCATTGGTTTTCTTCTCTGGAGCTCTTGCTTTGTTGTAGCTTCCACTTCTTCAAGAACCCTTTCTTGTCCTTAGGTACTTCTTGAAGTCTTTGGTGATCATTGCCATTCCATCATCATTCAGATCAGAACCTTTAGTGATTCTGAGTACCAAGCTCCTTTCCTTATTTGGTACATCCGTTTTCGTGGTATGTCTTTTAAGTTTATAGGCCGTGAAGATGCCCAATCAATTCATCTAGTGGGAGAGTGGAAATATTCTTTGATTCCTAAATGGCAGTGATTTCTCCCAAGTGATTGGCAAGACCCTAGTGAGTATCTTCTTGACTCTTTCTTCTTCAGGGATAATCCTTCCAAGAGATTTTTGGTCATTTATCAATGTAGTGAACCTTGTGTACATCTCCTAAATGGTTTGTCCATCCTTCTTAATAAGTTCTCATACTGAGAGTACAGTAGAATTCCTCTAGATCTCTTCACCTGAGTTGTTCCTTTATGGTCACTTGCACTGTGTCCCAAATTTGCTAGTAGCGAAATAAGGGATTCTGTTGTACTCATCTGGACCAAGCCCACAAGCCATTTCTTGGATTTAGCATTCTTCTCTCACTTCTTCAAATCCTCAGCATTGCAATCTGCTCTTGTCTTTGGCACATCTACTCCTTCAGCATTTTTCTTCAAGGTAGCCAGTGGACCATCAGTGATAATATCTCATAGCTCATAGTCCTCTCCATGAATGTGATATCTCATTTTGTTCTTGCACTAAGAGTAGTACTGACCATTAAAGAGTGGTGGCCTAGCA